GTTTATGAGAAACTTGTATTTCCAAAGAAGTGAGTGGGAGCACTATAGAATTTCTGATGAGTATATGTTGTTGACATATTGTTGATCAGAAATGACGTAGAATTTTCTGGAAAGCATATAGGGTTATTTTGAAAGTGTTTTTTAATGGAAAGCCTGGATTAAGCTACTTGAACATTGAGCATCAAGATCTATAAGGATAGATCAAAATGCTTAATAATACTTTCAAATGAGCACATACCTTGACATGATCTTGAAGGTGTTCAAGATGGACCAGTCAAAGAAGGAGTTCTTGCCTGAGTTGTAAGGTACGAAGTTAAGACTTAAAGCTCGACCACGGCAGAATAGAGAGAAAGGACGAAGGTCGTCCCCTATGCTTAAGACGTAGGCTCTTCAGTATGCTATGCTGTGTACCGCACCTGAAGTGTGCCTTGCCATGAGTCAGTTAAGGGGTACAAGAGTGATCCAAGAATGGCTCACAGGACAGCAGTCAAAGTTATCCTTAGTAACTAGTGGACTAAGGAATTTTCTCGATTATGGAGGTGGTAAAAGAGTTCGTCGTAAAGGTTACGACGATGCAAGCTTGACACCTATCCGGATAGCTCTGAGTATAGAGACCGGATACATATAATGGAGCAATAATTTAGAATAGCTCCAAGTAGAACAGTTGTTTGGAATAGCTCCAAATAGAGCGTGGTAGCTGCATCTAGGAGATGACATAGAGATTTGTAAAGCACACACGGATCTGAAAGGTTCAGACCTGTTGACTAAAACCTCTCTCACAAGCAACATGATCAAACATAAAACTCATTGAGTGTTAATCACATAGTGATGTGAACTAGACTACTGACTCTAGTAAACTCTTGGGTATTAGTCACATGGCGATGTGACCTGTGAGTGTTAATCACATGGTGATGTGAACTAGATTATTGACTCTAGTGCAAGTGGGAGACTGTTGGAAATATGCCCTAGAGGCAATAATAAAAGTATTATTATTATATTTCCTTGTTCATGATAATTGTCTTTTATTCATGCTATAACTGTATTATCCGGAAATCGTAATACACGTGTGAATATATAGACCACAATATGTCCCTAGTGAGCCTCTAGTTGACTAGCTCGTTGTGATCAACAGATAGTCATGGTTTCCTGGCTATGGACATTGGATGTCGTTGATAACGGGATCACATCATTAGGAGAATGATGTGATGGACAAGACCCAATCCTAAGCATAGCACAAAGATCGTGTAGTTCGTTTGCTAGAGCTTTGCCAATGTCAAGTATCTCTTCTTTGACCATGAGATCGTGTAACTCCTGGATACCGTAGGAGTGCTTTGGGTGTATCAAACGTCACAACGTAACTGGGTGACTATAAAGGTGCACTACAGGTATCTCCGAAAGTATCTATTGTTTTATGCGGATCGAGACTGGGATTTGTCACTCCGTGTAAACGGAGAGGTATCTCTGGGCCCACTCGGTAGGACATCATCATATGCGCAATGTGACCAAGGATTTGATCACGGGATGATGTGTTACGGAACGAGTAAAGTGACTTGCCGGTAACGAGATTGAACAAGGTATTGGATACCGACGATCAAATCTCGGGCAAGTAACATACCGATAGACAAAGGGAATTGAATACGGGATTGATTAAGTCCTTGACATCGTGGTTCATCCGATGAGATCATCGTGGAACATGTGGGAGCCATCATGGGTATCCAGATCCCGCTGTTGGTTATTGACCGGAGAACGTCTCGGTCATGTCTACATGTCTCCCGAACCCGTAGGGTCTACACACTTAAGGTTCGATGACGCTAGGGTTATAAAGGAAGCTTGTATGTGGTAACCGAATGTTGTTCGGAGTCCCGGATGAGATCCCGGACGTCACGAGGAGTTCCGGAATGGTCCGGAGGTAAAGATTTATATATAGGAAGTCCTGTTTCGGCCATCGGGACAAGTTTCGGGGTCATCGGTATTGTACCGGGACCATCGGAAGGGTCCCGGGGGCCCACCGGGTGGGGCCACCTGCCCCGGGGGGCCACATGGGCTGTAGGGGGTGCGCCTTGGCCTACATGGGCCAAGGGCACCAGCCCCAAGAGGCCCATGCGCCTAGGGAACACTAGAGGGAAGAGTCCTCGAGGGGGAAGGCACCTCCGAGGTGCCTTGGGGAGGATGGACTCCTCCCCCCTTCTTGGCCGCACCCCTTTCTTGGAGTAGGGGGCAAGGCTGCGCCTCCCCCTTCTCCCCTGCCCCTATATATAGTGGAGGGGAGGGAGGGCATCCACACCTGAGCCCTTGGCGCCTCCCTCCCTCCCGTGACACCTCCTCCTCTCCCGTAGGTGCTTGGCGAAGCCCTGCAGGATTGCCACGCTCCTCCATCACCACCACGCCGTTGTGCTGCTGCTGGATGGAGTCTTCCTCAACCTCTCCCTCTCTCCTTGCTGGATCAAGGCGTGGGAGACATCATCGAGCTGTATGTGTGTTGAACGCGGAGGTGCCGTCCGTTCGGCACTAGGATCATCGGTGATCTGAATCACGACGAGTACGACTCCATCAACCCCGTTCACTTGAACGCTTCCGCTTAGCGATCTACAAGGGTATGTAGATGCACTCCCCTTTCTACTCATTGCTGGTCTCTCCATAGATAGATCTTGGTGTTACGTAGGAAATTTTTTGAATTTCTGCTACGTTCCCCAACAGGTTGAGCACTTGCACGTCAGCTTCATTAACAATTTGACAATTCGAAGCAACTGGCTTAGAAAATGAATTAATCTTAATGGTGTTTGGCAAACTTTTTTTCCGCAACGTTTGGCAGCGTTTTTACTCCTCATAAGATAGGGCCAGTTTCAGAAGCAACCATCTCAGAGAGCGAATTAATCTTAGTGTTGTTTGTCAGCGTCTTTTCTCTTCATAGTTGAGGAATTTTAGTTTCTGAATTCTATACTCATATAGTAGGAAATTTTTACACCACAAAAAGGAACTCATACAAGATAATCTGCATCATGAAAATTTCTAGGATGCCTACAAGATATGAATTCTTAATAGCATCTCAAATCAGAAAAAACAACTAAATCCAATGTATAATTTCAAAACTGATACGAGATAAAAATCAAGAGAAATTAGTATACTGTGATGTGCTAACCTGCTAGTTTCTTGGCTGAACTAGTGAAGTACGTTGCGTCTCCAACTCGCCGTATGAATAAGATTGTGAGATGCAGAGTAGGCAGTAGGGGATCAGAGTTAGACCGGCGGCAAGGGCACACTACGGCGGCGGCAGCAGCGCCTAATCTCTACCCACATACAAGCTAATTATGGACGAAAGAACGGAGTCCAGGAGACTATACCGGAGGTTATGTTGTCAACTGACCGCTAATGGGCTTTTACTATGGGCTTTTTTCTCTTCTTTTTGTAAAGTACACATTAAGAACTTGAGATTAGGGGGGGGGGGCAACTACATTGTATGTGCGATTATGGGCTCGTTGCCTGTACGTCTCCAAGTATATCGTTCGATCCTTTGGGGGGGGGGGGCTGGCCCCTGCTCGTCCCCCCTTGGCTCCGCCACTGCGTCTTATGTCCTCTTGGGTCTTGGGGAGTCGTCATAGTGTACATGGGGATGAACGTAGGATGCTCCGCATCAACTAATCTTGAGGTAAATAAAACACTTTTTCCAATGCTATTGCGATGTTTATGAAGGAGAGGTTACAACAATTGTCTAGCGTGCCCACCGTGCATTATGTCTATTCACCAAGTTTTGACGCCGTTGAACCTATGCCAAGAGCTCGGTATGAGCTAAAGATAACAAGCCAATCCTTCATCATATTCCAAATCCGGATCAAGAAACGACATTGGGAAGGAAAATGCCCCACAATTTTCAGAGTTCTAGTGCACAAAGAGCAAATCCAATAATTAGGCCATCCACACTTGGCAAAGATGATCCGCCTTCTAAGATCGATTTTGAATGACGAGCCAAGCGAATAACTTACATTTGGGAGGAGCCCAAATTTTCTAGATGGTGGTCTTGAAGATGGTGGCGGTTGCCCCGATGAATCGGGCACAATAAGTAGAGTCCACAGAGTAGCGCCCGAAGGTCGTCATCTTCCACGGGATGGTGTTGCAGCTTGGTTAGTGTGGAGTTTGAAGTTGGGACGTGAATCACCAGTGTTAAAAGAATTCATGGATGTGTCGTAACATGATCCAGTTCATTGCTTAGTTGAACCTGGGACATGAAACAACCAAGTCCACTCCATCCATTCAACCCAGGGCCAACAGAGCTGTAAAGCGAGGACGAACATTTTGAGGTTAAGCACTCCCAACCAGCCAAGAATGGTGGGATGAAAGATGATCTCTCGATTTATTTTGACACCGAAGACTTTATTGAAGTATGTCCCTAGTGAGTCCCTCCTTATCTTGTCCATAAATTGCAAGACCTCAGTCGGTATGTCGATGGAGGTCGGTATGCCCATGAACCGCCTTGACCAACGTCGTGTGACCTGTTGCGATGAAGTGCTTTCTCGTTCAAGAAAGTAAATTTTCAGTAATTTTACCATCAAAGTGTTGAAAGTTGATCCTTCAGATAGAGGAAGCCCAAAAATATTACATGGGAAAGGAAGAAAGACATGCTTTGCCTTATGCTATCAAGATTAAGGTCATTGTGGGTGTCAAAGAAGGTTTTTGAAAGTTTATTTTCAAGGCCGGTGACCTCCCTAAAATCTTATCGCATCTATCGTTTAATTTGGTACTCAATTTGATACTCCTAGCAAATTATAGTAAAAGATTAATAGTAGTACTAGCAAGCTTAGTGGTTATTGCAGTTTGGGCGTTGTACTAAGTCTAAAATTAATCTTTATGGTATGGAGTATAATTTAGATAGGAATTACTAGATTTGACTCATGGTGGCTATTTTGCTATTCTAACTAGGCCCTCATCGTTGCAATGAGATCGACCTAACCTGCGCGGACGCACAGAGGACAGATCCACCAGGCAACCACTCTCCCACCTCTGTGATGGCTTCCGCCCCGTCGGCCCCGTCGACGGCGCCGTCACTGGTGGACACCCTCTTCCAGCGCTCGCTGGACGATCTCGTCAAGTCCCTCCGCGCCGACCCTTCAGCCGCCGGCGAGTCGTTGGCCGTTGGCCGCGCCCTCTCCGAGATCCACCGTGAGATCCGCGCCCCGGACGCGGCAACCAAGGCCGTCGCGCTCCAGAAGTTCACCTACCTCTCCTCCCTCCACTTCGTCCCCGTCGTCTCCCACCCGCACGCGTTCCCCGCCATCGAGCTCCTCGCCTCGCCGCACCTCCCACACAAGCGCCTCGCCTATCTCGCCGCCTCGCTGTCGCTCCACCCCGCCTCGCTCTCCCTCCTCCCGCTCGCCACCCACCAGATCCACAAGGACCTCTCTCCTTCCACCTCCGCCGCCGCCTCCCACCACGTATGCGCCCTCGCGCTCCAGCTCCTTGCCTCCCCCGCCGCAGCCGCCGCGCCCGACCTCGCCGTCCACCTCGCGCACGACCTCGTGCCCCACCTGTCCCGTGGCAGCCCACGCGCTATCGCTGCCGCAGCGCGCATCATAGCCGCCTCCCCGTCTACTGGTGTGCCGGTCCTCTTCAAGCCACTGGCTGCATGTCTTGCTTCGTCCGACCCACGGGCGTCAACTGCGGCTGCATCCGCCTTCTGTGAGCTGTCGGCGCCGCCGGCTGATGTGGCCCCATTCCTGCCTCTCGCGCCTGACCTTTACAATCTGCTAACCACATCCCGCTCCAACTGGGCGCTCATCAAGGTGCTCAAGATATTTGCTAGGCTGGCTCCTCTGGAGTCACGTCTAGCCGCACGGATTGTTGATCCAGTCTGCCAGCTCCTCACTCGTTCTTCAGCCATGTCGCTGACATTCGAGTGTGTCCGCACGGTGCTAACTGCACTACCGGCGCATGGTGCCGCAGTGAGCCTTGCCATTGGGAAAGTCAAGGAATTCCTTGCTGCTTCTGATGATCCTAACCTGCGCTATCTTGGCCTCTTGGCACTTGGTATGCTTGGCCCAGCATATGCATCAACTGTCAATGAGAGTCGTGATGTGATTGCCCTGTCACTGGGTGATGCTGACTCAAACATCCGTAGGGAGGCATTGCACCTTATGATGGGAATGGTTGATGAAAACAATGTCATGGATATTGCTGGCATGCTGGTCAGTCATGCCGCAAGGTCAGACCCAGAGTTTGCAAATGATATTCTTGGGGCCGTCCTAGCAGCATGTGGGCGCAATGTATATGAGCTGGTGTCAGATTTTGATTGGTATATCTCACTACTCGCAGATATGGCTAGGAGCTTGCACTGTGCGCAGGGGGATGAGATTGGTCGCCAGCTTGTTGATGTGGGACTTAGGGTGCATGATGCACGGCCAGAGCTTGTCCGTTCAGCTCGATCTCTCTTAATTGATCCTGCTTTGCTTGGGAACAATCTCCTATGCTCTGTTCTTTCTGCTGCTGCATGGGTCTCTGGTGAGTATATTGATTGTAGCAAGGATCCTGTTGAGCTTGTTGAGGCACTGTCACAGCCAAGGACTAGCCTCTTGCCAATGTCAGTGAGAGCTGTGTACATCCAGGCAGTACTTAAAGTGGTCACCTTCTGTTGCAATTTATATGTAGAGAGTTCGAATGATTCAAACAAGGAATCGGATCTAGTGTTTGATGAGTTAGCTGTTGATCAAACTGTTAGTAGGGGAAGCAAGTCTGAAACTCAACCTGCTGAAGAACAAATCATTATGCCAGGCACAGCTAAAAATGACCCCTTTTCAAACAAATCAATAGTTTACATGATTAACTTGATTGAAACAACGGTTGGGCCACTTGTTGAGTCCAAGGAAGTTGAGGTCCTGGAGAGGGCACGCAACCTGATTGGTTTTGTCCATTTGTTAAGAGAGATCTGGGAGTTGAAGGAAAGGAAGGTCAGTGATCATAACAAGCATAACCGGGTCGTGGAGCTTATTAATAGTATGCAAAAAGTATTCTCTCAGGAATTAAGGCCTGTTTCTGTGAATGCCCAGAAGAAAATTTCCCTTCCTGAGGATCTTGTCTTGCATGAAAATCTGTCTGAACTTGCTGACATTTTAAGTGAAGATGACACTATTCTGTCAACTTCAATCTCTTTTATCTCTCGCAACTGTCATTCTGTAGAGACTAGAGATGAGCCTGCAGTAGTGTCAGTTGATTCATCTTCTCTTTTTGAGCACCGTAAACGGCACGGGATATACTATCTCCCAACAGGAAAAGCTGAGGATGACGCAAATAGCTACCCTCGTGCCAATGATCCTCTTCTTTCCGCTGAGAATGCAAGTGCCATGGAGGATAAATCCGAGACTGTCCAGCCTGTATCTGCTGGGAAAAAATTGAAGGCCATGAGGTCCAGACCAAAAGTAGTGAAATTGGATGGCGAAGATTTCCTAAGTTCTATGATGACTAGTGCAAATATTCTAAAGGCTGCAGATAAGTCAGAAGTCATGGGCAAAAAAATGGACACTGGCGAATCTAGTTCTCAATGGATACAGAACATATATGCTGATACTGGAAGCCTTTCTACTTCAAGTTCTAGGACAAGTAAGCAACACGATCTTACTAAAGAGAAGAGCACAATACCTCCTGACAGTGATAAGAAAGAGCCGAGAAAGCATAGAACCTCTTCTAGGAGTGGGCATCGTCAAGGAAAACATACGCACAGAGAAAGACCTAGTACTCAGCCTGATGTTGCACCTCAAGCTCCGGTTGTTCAAGATTTCCTTCTGTAGCTGCCGAGATTTTTTTTGCTTGGTAAGTCACAATTACGAAATACAAGTTGATGTGTTGTAATGTTCATTTGAATGAGGAAGAACATAGGTGTACATGGATGTTAACCTCTTCTGGTAAATTTTCTGTTAGGTCTTTGTATACTATCCCAGAGGCTAGTTAAACTAGATGCCCATTTAAGAAAATGTGGTACATGAAAGTGCCAGTGAAAATCAAAGTTCTTTTTTTTTGTGTGTGGTTGGTGTTTAAAAAGAGTATTTTGACTAGAGACGTCTTAGATAAAAGATGTGGAGTGGGAGGTGATAGATGTTTGTTTTGTGGTTGGCGTACATGGATGTTAACCTCTTCTGGTAAATTTTCTGTTAGGTCTTTGTATACTATCCCAGAGGCTAGTTAAACTAGATGCCCATTTAAGAAAATGTGGTACATGAAAGTGCCCGTGAAAATCAAAGTTCTTTTTTTTGTGTGGTTGATGTTTAAAAGGAGTATTTTGACTAGAGACGTCTTAGATAAAAGATGTGGAGTGGGAAGTGATAGATGTTTGTTTTGTGAGGAGAAATAAGCTATAGACCCTCTATTTCTGCAGCGTTCTATTGCTAGATATATCTGGAGTTCTGGATTGTAGTGAAATGTGTGTTTTGGTATTGATTTTCGAGTAGAGACAGTAAATGATCTTTGTAAGTATGTGTTAGCCTTCGATGGTAAGGACACACAGCTAATTTTTGTTGTGCTGTGGGCAATCTGAAAGCAAGAAATGCTGCGCATTTCAACAAAAAGTTCCCTTTTGATCCTACAGCAGTGTAGTTTCTCAGGATTTTTGCTGGCTGACCTTTCGGGAAACCTGCAAAAGGTGCAACGACAAGGGGCAAAAAAGCTTCAGCTAGTAGCGGTTGAAATCTTCCATCGTCGAAAAGGGTGGCAGCCTATGGTAAGTCAAATGTTGCAAGGTGGCTGTGAACTTGGTGGGTTTTTGGTGGTACTCTAGGACTGAGCTCTGTTTTGTTCTGTTTGAGGTCTTCGAGAATTTAGTTGGCTCCTGTGGTGTTTTGGTTCTCGAGGCTGAGTGTAGCTGTATGATGGTTTGGAGGTTGCGAGGTCAGTCTGTGTGGCTTGTGCCACCTGACAGAATGGGTATCTTGATGTGGGACTTGGTTGTTGTTCAGTTTTCATGGAAATGAAAATTGGGGCAGGGAGGCCCTTGGGTCGAAAAAGAATACGTTGATGTGTTGTTCACTTTTTGCGCATTTTCTTTTTTCTTATATTTTTCATTGGCAAGCACTTAAATAGTTCCATGCCCCCCTCCCCGCCCCGAGGAATTGGTCGACTTATCAGGCTCATGGCCAAGACTGCAGGTTCGAATCCTGTCCCTGCCTCTGCATAAGCATCCACGCTTTTCACGTGATTATAGGTACTCTTTTTCTTGATCATAGAACCTAATTTTCTACTCCCTCTGTTCCTAAATATTTATTTTTCTAGAGATTTCAACAAGTGACTACATACGGAGCAAAGTGAGTGGATCTACACTCTAAAATATGTCTATATACATCCGTATGTGGTAATCCATTTGAAATTCTAAAAAGACAAATACTCCCTCCGTTCCAAATTACTTGTTGCTGAAATGGATGTATCTAGAACTAAAATACATCTAGATACATCCATATGTGCGACAAGTAATTTGGAACGGAGGGAGTATTTAGGAACGGAGGGCGTAGAATAGAGCTGAACGGCTTTGTGCAATTTCGCTCGCAATACCCTCTCCCCCGGCGAGCCTGCGACTGTCTCTAACGAATGATGCGAGACGCAACCAATTTGCAGGCTTGGGGACTTGGTACAGTTTGCTTATGTTTTCTAAAAAAAACTGCTGAAGGACGCCGGCCGTGCAGGAGAATGAAGGGCATGGCCTCACGGGACTTCACCTGATCGCGCTCTGCCAAAGGGCTTTCGCGTGATGGGTCATGGCTGCAGCTGCGGAAGCACTTCTTTTATATCGATCGGAACACATGGGCAAGCACCGGTCCAGCTGAATGCCAACAGACAACGCGCCATGGATGTCCGGTATGCCAAGCTCTGAGCGCTGTCGAAGAGGGCAGTACATTACACGCGTACAAGCACGAGGCATAAGATTGTTATACAGCAATGGAACGATGATCCCCACGCACGGTGTTAGCTAGATTTGCACGCGAACAGCGGATCCATGCATGCCTTTCCTAGAATAAGGAAGAAGAAAAAGATCGTATGGATCAATTCAAGCAAACGGGGCCGTGAAAGTGCACAACAATCATGGGCAATACTTATGTTAGTAGTATGTTTAATACATGTTACAGTAGTACGCAAGTAATTCGGGACGGAGCGACTATATAAGATGCTATCAAATGAGTGCCACTGTGATCAGATGGCCGAGTTGGTCTATGCGCCAGATTAAGGCTCTGGTCCGAAAGGGCGTGGGTTCAAATCCCACTCTGGTCACACAACCGTTTTTTCTTTTAGCTTCTGTTCTTACGTTCCAATTCTAGCTGGATTCACGTGCAAACAATATGGATGATGAACTTTTTTCTATGTAATCCCACTCTGGTCAACTATATTTCTTGTTTTTCTTTTAACTTCTGTCCTTATGTTTCAATTCTAGCGAGATTCACGTGCAAACAATATGGATAAAAAGCTTTTTTTCACCTGTTTTTTCTTTTAGCTTCTGTTCTTACGTTCCAATTCTAGCTGGATTCACGTGCAAACAATATGGATGATGAACTTTTTTCTATGTAATCCCACTCTGGTCAACTATATTTCTTGTTTTTCTTTTAACTTCTGTCCTTATGTTTCAATTCTAGCGAGATTCACGTGCAAACAATATGGATAAAAAGCTTTTTTTCATCTGTATAGCTAGTTCTGTTTTTTGCGGGAAAACTTTCAATCTATTCATTTTCGATCATGGCAGTACAATATCTGTAGACGACTATAAGAACTAAATGACCCGAAGGCGCGCCGCCGTCATTGCACCTCATTTGCCAGAGCAGGCAAAACTTATTATAGCAGACAGTCGAGAAGTCGGACAGCGCGACAGAACGACAACTACCGCCGATGAAGAGTAGCTTAGATGAGAAGGATCTAACCAAAAAACACCTGGACAAACAACGAACGATGACCAGGTCTGAGCAAATCAACCGAAGACAGATCCGCCAGAGACATACCTCCACACGCCCATCGACGATGCTAGATGCACCACCGGAACGAGGGCTAGGCGGGGAGAATATTATTTTATTTTTAGATAGCTACCGTCATCTGGCCTTCCTGAGTAGGACACAAACCGTAACAAAACTCAAAGAACGCATCTAAAACTGAGCCCCTTCCACCAGCAAAGATCGGAATCCACCGCGCCCTCATAGCCATAAGGCCACCGAAGATGAGGCGGATCGGCAGCGGTGGTGGCGCCGGCAGAGGAACCCTAAGTTTTTTTTCAAATGTTTTTTCTTTTAGCTTCTGTTCTTACGTTCCAATTCTAGCTGGATTCACGTGCAAACAATATGGATGATGAACTTTTTTCTATCTAATCCCACTCTGGTCAACTATATTTCTTGTTTTTCTTTTAACTTCTGTCCTTATGTTTCAATTCTAGCGAGATTCACGTGCAAACAATATGGATAAAAAGCTTTTTTTCATCTGTACAGCTAGTTTTGTTTTTTGCGGGAAAACTTTCAATCTATTCATTTTCGATCATGGCAGTACAATGAACACAAGAAAAATATAACAAAAGTTACATCCATATCTGTAGACGACTATAAGCACTAAATGACCCGAAGGCGCGCCGCCGTCATTGCACCTCATTTGCCAGAGCAGGAAAAACTTATTATAGCAGACAGTCGGGAAGTCGGACAGCGCGACAGAACGACAACTGCCGCCGATGAAGAGTAGCTTAGATGAGAAGGATCTAACCAAAAAACACCTGGACAAACAACAAACAATGACCAGGTCTGAGCAAATCAACCGAAGACAGATCCGCCAGAGACATATCTCCACACGCCCATCGACGATGCTAGATGCACCACCGAAACGAGGGCTAGGCGGGAAGAACCTTATTTTATTTTTAGACAGCTACCGTCATCTGGCCTTCCTGAGTAGGACACAAACCGTAACAAAACTCAAAGAACGCATCTAAAACTGAGCCCCTTCCACCGGCAAAGATCGGAATCCACCGCGCCCTCATGGCCATAAGGCCACCGAAGATGAGGCGGATCGACAGCGGTGGTGGCGCCGGCAGAGGAACCCTAAGCTATTTGTTTTAGATAGGAGGCGGCTAGAGATAACACGAGAATAGCTAGTGCCGTTGGGCACGTCATATCCATGTTGATGGTTGGGCACCTCACATACATGTTGATGGTTTAGTAGAGAGGCAATGATCCACTCCATAACGTACTTAGGAAACACGCTGCATCTGAAAATGAATTCCATTGTACTATTTTTTATTTTGCGTAGAATACTGGGAATAGTCAGCCATCAGGTTGCTGGCTAGGAAAGGAGGTATAGACTCAAACCAATTCTTAGTCATCTCCAACGAACAAGCTCATTTGGCACAGAGGTGGGACAGGGAGTTGGAGGAGCTAGGAACATGCTCACTAGTGAAAGAACTAAGATTCAAAGATAAGTCCCCTATTTCTAGTATAAGCGGAGTCACAACCGAATGCGAGTTGTGGCGAAAATTCCAAAGGTGCACGACCTCCAAGCAGTCTATCTCCATGATAACATCTCTAAAACCTCTGATCTTAGCAAGCAGGACGCCATCACGAAGAGCCAAAGCTTCATCAATCATCGAGTTTGCGACCCCATCACGAGGTTTGCACCATGTAGCGGAACGAGACACCCCTCTAGCCTCCATGCACATGTCTGATCTTATTGATGCGTCCGTTTTAAACTTGACAAAGTCGTCGTCAGGGGGCACAAACCATAACCTGGCATGGTCACATGTGAGCTCAAGAATGGCTAGAGCCACTTGAAACAGTAGGAGAGGCTC